CATCTGCACTTCTGAAACTACCAAGTCACATTTTCTGGTCTGACTGCGAATGAGAAAATATGATTGAGCAACTGTGCCAGTGTGATGCACACCAAACATGGACATAAAAGGTCTGCGAGTGTAAGGAAGAAGCTAACAATCTATTAACAGTAACAAAAAAAGAGCTGCAAACCTTCTCCTTTAGCATCTACTGTCAGGGAAACAAGTTTTTTTTTTGCAGTTTTACAAATTGTGCATGTGAAAATAATAAGGGGTTTTCAAAAACTGACTGTTCAAAATGCAGCCACCCGGCTTGTTGGTCACATGGGTGCCAACACAGAATTCATGAGTCTGCCATAGAAAATCTGGACACTTTTACACACTTTTTCTGCAATTTGGCATCTCCAATTAGTCTCAGCTTAGTAAAATACCACCATACAGGTTGGTGAGGCCAAATCCCATTTCAACCCGTCCCCATAACTTAGCTCAACATACACAATTTGCCAGAGAGAAGGGTGTGTCCATCTTTTTTGTGATATAAAACAACAGCAATGGGACACACTTTAAAATAAAGGGGTATAAGTGTGTTTGGAGAAAAAAAACTTACAAATTTAAGTACTTTCTCTGTTAAAACATTTTATACCTTGCACAAAAACTATTATAATCTTTAGCTTGATTCAATCCATTATAATTGCTACCACTGTCATTTATCCATAACAAGCATAAAAATATAATGTAGTCAAGCCTGTTGCAGGCTTAAAATACTAATCTGACACAAAATACATGCAAATCAACATTACGTCTGTTGATCCAAAAAGATTTAGCAACAACAGTTTACAAGATGACACCCTAAAGGGGTTGGCCACGTTGTAATTGAATATTTTAGCTGTTACTCTTTCGGACTACAAATTGAAACTCGGGGCTTGGTGTATGGGTATGGGATAAAGCTAGAAAATAAGATTCAACCTAACTTTCTGTGTGACAAACAGTTTTATTTTGTCACCGCTTTTAGATGTGCTGATCCTTAACCAAGCTTTAGGTTACCATTAAGTTTTAGTTCAGCAGATGTTTGTTTATTACTGCATTTGCATCCTACCTATAACTACCAAGTTTAACAGAGGTTTTCCCCCTTGTCTCTTCTCCAGTTCTGTCTTGATGTTAATCGCCTGCCGGGTTTTCCCAGAAGACCGCCCCGGTGTGGCACCAGCAGAGGACTCATCCCCATTTGATCCCTTAGATGGGGTCTCAGGACGTCTTGAAGTGGGCTCAGGAACAGCTGCGTTTTCAGGGCTGCCGCCTCGTCGAACAGAAGTGGCGACGAGGCCGTTCTCCCCCGTTCTGCAGAACAAAGTTCAAGTTTTGTTACAACAAAAAGACAAAAAGTACCCAAGTATTTTTTTAAATTTCCCACCCCACCACAATTTTACTTTAGAACATATGATTTCCATTACTTTTTTTCTTAGTGTGCTCAGGGTTTTGAAGACATAAGAGAAGAGTGGACTGAGTTACCTGGGAACGTCAAATCCCATCGTTTGCTTCTTTCCAGAAACAGTCATACGGGCCACTTTGGGTACCACTTCAGAATCCAGTTTATTGTGGGACATGTCTCTGCTTTTAGCTAAGAAAAGTAATGGACACAAAAAAAACATTAATGACTCACCATCATTTTCAACAAACCACTTTCAGAATTACCTTCAATGCATGATTAAAAAAAAAAAATTTTAAAGGCAGCGATTAGTGTGTCGAGATTGCCTTGATACCAGTCTTTATCTATTTTCATTTGTTCATTTTCATGTATCACAGTAAGTGGAACAACCTCCGAGTTACCATTTGTCAAAGCATATTCAGGACAATCATTTATTTTTTTTACTTTGTAGAAAAAAAGACAACTTTTTATGTGTTATAATCTAGATCAATTAGCCAAAAATGTGCTTCCTTCTCCTGAGGTGCTGAAACAAATACAGCTGATAAAAAAAATTACCAGTCACAGTTGCATGCTGGTGTGGAAGGTATACATCTGAGAGTGAATGTACACAGCACTCCGAACCTCCCATCTATCTGATTGGAAGTCTATATTTTGCAGCAGTGAGACTTCTTGAGGTAAGTGCTTTGTCATCCCGCACCCGCATGGCCACCAGTTCCAGTCATAATCAACCCATTTCTGATTCATTCAGACTGGGCTGCACAGTCAAGCCTACTGCACACTGTGTGCATGTGTCTGTTTGCATCCGTCATCCTGGCGCACAAAGGGTTAATTTCAGAAGTGGCCGTTGCCTCCCGTCTCCACGTAAATAGATCGGTGTGACGCAGCATTTCACAGAATGAATCTTGTGAAAAGGTGTCAACGCAGCGAGCTCAGGGGTTGGATGTGAATGTGTGCTTTGCTCACAACTGATGGAAAGAATAAAGACTAATGGGGAATGGTTGACTGGTTTCATCTTCCAAAACTGGTCTTTAGATGCAATTACTGTTGGGTTAGCAATGATATCCTAAATGATTTTTACTGCAATGCTTCAGTCATGGGACATTCATGTTTTGTCAGTGACTTTTTGTACTTTCAAATTGCATTTTCATCAAGCTTACACTTTGATTAGGTGCATAAAACTAATACAAAAAAATACCCCGAAGGGAAAATAAGAGAAGATGTGTGATTCAACAGCATATTAATGAACTTTCTCTAACCAAGCACTCTCTGAATGACTTGTCCTGCAAAAGAGAAAAAGTCCCGTTCATTCTGAAACACATACAGCTCTCTGCACTCTGATGAGGCTTCCCCCCCATTTAAATACAGGCACTGCAGATAACATTTCCACAAACTGATCCGTATCAATATATGGGAATAAAAGGAGGGGATGTTCATTTCGTTAGTGTCATCATTGTTCATTTAAAACCAATAACAAAAGCAAAGGTTTATCAATGTTTCTTTCACTCTTTCCACCAAAAAAAATGTGATCCTTGCATCTAAAAACTACTAGCTGGCTGCATATTAAAAAAATGACAGCTAAATCTACGGTGCACAAGTTTTAGATATGAGCTGCACATGTAGACTAATTAATAAAGCTTTAAACTTACAGATATACAATCTCACCTCCGCCATCTGTCCTCGAGTAAGTCGAAACATGAGAAAAGGAAAACTACTCTGTGGGGAATTTTAGATTTTAGTTCTTCCTGCAGCTGGGGGGCTTTTTTTTTTGTTCCTGATTCAGAGGTTTCCACAACCTCTGTCCAAAAAGACACCATCCTGTTTAGTTACTTCACCAATATGAAGCATCAACTACAAAAAAGACCAAAAATATTAGAAGAACATTTAAATTTCAGCTAAATAATCACCAGCCACACATTTCACAAACCTCAGATGAACCTGTTATCTGATCTGTAGATATCAGACAACGCCACCCAAGTACCCTTAAACAACGAATGTATTGCCCTGTCTAAGCACAGTAACGCTTGTGTAAACAATGAAACAGCAAACTATCTTTTATTTGGTTTTGTAGCTGGCCTCAGGGCAGCCTTAACTGCAGTGTGACATGAAAACAAGCATTCGGGCCGTTCATGCTTTCAGGCTCAGACCAGGATATCTTTACACTGTTTAGTCTATGAGGTAGATATTTGGCATGCTCCTATGCAGGATTTCACTTGAATAAGAGGACCCTTGCATTGAGTCATTCGTACACTTTGGCCCGAGGGCCCAACTTAAGGCACGAAAACGAGGAGTCCGCCCAGGATATGCAAACATGAAGCATCCCTTCCCCCACTTCCAATATACTCACATACACACACGCAGTGTGCTGACAGAAGAAAAATGAAATTAATACCAAGACTAACAGGTGTGTGGGATGAAGTCAGTGTTTCAGACCATACAGATGACAAGTAGTTATGCTCATATAATATAAAGAAGAAATGTAAGTATTTTGCATAAGTTTTTTGGCTGTTTGGCTGTTCCCTCTTTAGGGGTCCCCAACCAATGTGAGTCAATTCCCCATCCCACTCTGTCCTCACTCCAACTATCTCCATGTGATCTCCAACTGCATCTATACATCTTCTCTTTGGCCTTCCACTGAAGTCTTTTTCCTGGCAGCTGCATTTCTAACATCCTTCTACAAAGATACCCACTGTCCCTCCTCTGAACATGTCCAAACCATCTCAGTCTGGCCTCTCTAACTGTATCTCCCAGTTGTTCAACCTGTGCTGTACCTCTGATGATCTCATTCCTAATCTTATCCATCATTGTCACTCCTAAGGTGAACCTCAACATCTTCATTTCTGCTACTTCCAGTTCTTTCTCCTGTCTTTTTTTCTATGTGTCTGTCTCCAGACCATACAACATAGCTACTCTCACCATTGTCTTGTAAACATTTCCTTTGACCTTTGCTGGCATCCTTTTATCATAAATCACTCACAAAGCTTTTTTCCATCCTGACTGGACTCTCCTCTTCACCTCTTTACCACACTCCCCATTTTCCTGGACAGGTGACCCCAAATACTTGAAGTCCAGCACCTTTGTGACCTCTGCTCCTTGTAGCCTCACTGTTCAACCTGCCTCCCTCTCATTCACACACATGTACTCTGTCTTACTACGGCTGACTTTCATTCTTGTCCTTTCAAGTGCATACCTCCACCTCTCCAAGTTCTCTTCCACCTGTTCCCACCACAAATCACAATGCCATCTGCAAACATCATAGTCACGGGGATTCTTGCCTGACCTCATCTATTAGTCGGTCCATTGCCACAGCAAACAAGAAGGGGTTCAGAGCTGATCCTTGATGTTCTCCCACCTCCACCTTGAAGCTATCTGTCACTCCTACAGCACACCTCACCACGGTCCTGTTGTCTGGGCCGCCTTAATGCATGGGTTTACCTGGGCTGAAGCCCAGGGCCCTACAGCCAATACCAATCGTTTTGAGCTCACAATGAGCTAAAAGAAATTGTGTTGCAACTTGTCAGGTTCTCTGTCTGTCAATCACATTAGATGCATGTTTGTGGCTGCTGATTGATGATTGCAGAACCGTTGATTCAGATTAAAAGTGACCCACATGGGTTCATTGATCGATGGTCCATGAGCTGACCAATCAGAATGAGTATTGCTAGATTTGAGGCTTGTCCCTCTATGAATGACTGACAGCTGTCTACATGTTACGAAAAGAAGTTTGAGAGAAGTTCTCAAAACAGAATATACTTGTCAGAACAAGTTTGAAAAAGAATTACTTGAGAATATATTGATGTGGACAGATTTTTAAAAACCAGCTGTCAGAGAAGATGACCCTGCAGAACGGTGTTCACAGACTCATCACCTGAGGGAGAGGAGGATGAGGCACGGCCTGCTCAGAAGCTACATTAGCTGGAGAGGTGCAGACAGGAGGAGAGAAGGAGCACAGGAAGAGAAGAAAGAAGACTAGGAAAGGAGCAGCGACATGTCTGACATGTGACCCAGGCGACTGGGGAGACAACATTGACCAACAGGTGCGTCCCGTGTGGAAAATGGGACAGGTGTGCCAAAGTTTTGATCAGCCGGCATGGGAGCATGCAGCCCGTCTCAGTATAACTTGCTGTCTCTGTTGCTTTAGATCTTCATATGAAACATGAACACTAAAAGATGTATATTTGTATGACCAAGACTTTAGCAAAGGTGGGTCTTAAACTTTTTTTTTCCCCAAAAGCCTCATGATGGTCTTTGTGAAAGAGTCAGTTTTAAGTGTTAATAGTTTATGATAAATATCTGCACATTCAAATTTATCCTATTATAGCATTAAAAACAGAGTTTGGGGGATCTGGATGAGCTAAACTTGTTTAAATTGGAACTACACTGTATGAATGTTATGTAATGAATTTATTGATAAAATATGAAATGTAAATTATAGTTTTCACACTATACCTACCGGGCCTACCAGCAGGTTATGGGGGGGCCCTGCCTGCTGTCCTCATACATGTCCTGTACCAGTCTAACATGCTTCTGCCACTCCAGATTTCCTCATACAAAACCACACCTCCTCCCTCGGCACCCTGTCATATGCTTTTTCTAACTCCACAAAGACACAATGGAGTTCTTTCTGACCCTCTCTGTACTTCTCCATCAGCATCCTCAAAGCAAAGATGGCATCTGTGGTCCTCTTTCTTGGCTTGAAACTATAATGCTGCTCACAGTCACCTCGTTTAAGTTAAGCTTCCACAACTCTCTCCCAGACAAACAAAACAAACAACAAATTATCTCATGAATTCATTGACCCAGTGAAATTAATATAATAATCATTGGATGCAAATTTACACCTGATTAACTCTTGGAGTGAGTCTTACTCAGGATGACCATCTCAGCCAAGAAACCTTAGAAAAAACAAACTGACTATAACTCAACCAAATTCACAGAGCTAAAATTTAGCATGTTAGAGTCATCCCCAACACAAACTCTGAGCACTAACTGATAGCACAAAAAAAAAGTTTTTGTTTTACTTAGTCAATGAATCTCTGAGTCAGCTGAACACATTTCAATACAAGTAATCACTGAATGTACAGCTTACTGTAGTCAAGATGGCCATCCCAGCTTATTGACACTAGCCCACAAAATACTAGAACTTTTACAAATCTTGAGCCAAGATTTAGTGTGACAGTAGCTGAATGTGATCC